GCTTTTTTTTTTTTTTTTAAATTTGGGAATAGTAAATTTCTGACATAACATAATGTATTTTGTAATAGTCACGATAATAAAAATTTGGATACGGGCACATTTTATTAATATATTCATTGCGAATAATATGTAAAAGAAAGATTGAATTAATGAACTGAGATTTCAATGCTTTCTATAGAATAAAAGAATTGCAATTTGAGAAAAGTAAAAATTCTCACGTTAGATTTGCTATACTTAAGGGAACGACGAAAAACTTTCTTTTCTACGTACCAGCATTATTATTCAGGCAAGATACTTGGGTTTACGTACTTATGTAAAATACGTCTAAAATATCCTTCGACTCCAGTCATGAATTTCAATTTTGACTCAAAATTTACGTAAAAGTGCGTATTTAAATATCAGCGAAGAATTGATCTAATTCAATAGTGATAAATTACTTTTGATGCATAGTATCGTAATTTGATATCTTATACGTGTTTGAACTTTTATATTTAATTAAATTAAATACTTATAATTATACATTGCAATATAATTTAAATTGAAATAGATTCTTGCTTACAGTAATTTATAACAGCTTCATATATCTCGATAATTCTTAGCTGGTGCCATACATTTTATTAAACTTTTGGTGTCATAAAATCATCTATATACACATGAATGTAATGTTGAAAAATAAAATGATTAAAATTAAAGTATTTTTATAATTTTAATATCGCTTTATATGTATATACACAAGGCTTTGTATACATAATTTATGATTATTCATACAACATATTTTATGGTATGGAATAAAAAGAACTTTGGTACTTGCTGAGAATTAAATCTTATCAATAATAGATATTTTAAATTAATAATAATATAAATTAAATGCAAATTATACGTGCATTTTAATGAGACATGGCAAACATGTCCAAGGAGATATTTGTTCTCGGATAGGATTCAACGGATAGGCTGCACTGTCCGCAATTATTATGTCGCGCAATTATTGTAATGTTAAAGAGTACTGTAATATACGGTTGATTATTACAATAGAATAAAGGCGGGCAGTTCTTCTTAGATGGTAATTTCTATAAAACCTCCTTCGCGTACGTTAGATAGGTAGGTCACATCGTGTCATCGTGTAGTTTGCTATGCAGTCTCACAGAGAGGTGACCCATTGCTTTCCCTGTAAAAGTGAAGAGCTAAAGCAGGTTGGCTCGTTTCTCTCTACTCTGTATGGTCGGGTCCCGACCAATGTCACATCAGTATGTGCGTACCGAGATCGCTTTTACCTTTCCGTAAAGCGAGGGAGTGGGTTGCTGTGCTGGGGGTATAAAACAGAAAACAGCGCTTTTACCAGCTAATATATGTGTAGTTTCATTTTAGTAGACAACAGAGATCCATTAGTTCTTACCCGGTTAACATTAGTTATAAGACGTGGCGACAGTCAGCATGTTACTACTATTAGTAAGTAAATCTCAGTATATAATCTGCAAAAATATTAAATATGTGTGTAAAAAGTTTACGAAAGAAAAATATTTTATTTAATATT